CCCAACCTCCTCTGCTCACATCTCATTGGCCAGGAATGTGTCTGAGTGGGGCGGGGCATATTGCCGCCCTCGCACAGAGTCAGCCGCGCGTCATTCAACATTCTGATACTTACTGAGCACCTACATCCCTATTTTACTAATTCTCACATCCATGAATTCTTTTTCCATTCTATTTTTTTCCAAAATAAGAATTGTCTTGTATTGATACTATCTCATTTTTAATGAAAAATAAATATATAGTATGTGCCAGGTGCCGTTCTAGGTACCGGAGATAAATCAATAAATGAAACAATGTTCCCCGCCGTGCAGAGCTGACATTCTAGTGGTAGGGAGATAAACAATTAAACATGATAAATACGTGAATTATTTAATGTGTTAAAACATGATAAATGCTTAGGGAAAAAAAAAAGTAGAGCAAAGTAAGGCCCATGTGGGGGATGGACCAGGGATGGTTGATATATTCATGTATTAATTATCTATTGCTGTGGCACAAAATTACCCCCCCAAATTGAGTAGTTTAAGACAACAAACATTGGGGCGCCTGGGTGGCTCAGTGGGTTAGGCGTCCGACTTCGGCTCAGGTCATGACCTCCCGGTTTGTGAGCTCAAGCCTCGCATCAGGCTCAGTGCTGACAGCTCAGCGCCTGGAACCTGCTTCGGATTCTGTGTGTCCTTCTCTTTCTGCCCCTCCCATGCTCATGCTCTGTCTCTCTCTGTCTCTTAATAATAAATAAATGTTTAAAAACTTTTTTTAAACAATAAAACAGACATTTTATCTCAGTTTCTGTGGTTCAGGAATCCAAGAATGGCTTGGCTAGCTCATTCCGGCTCAAGGTCTCTCAAGGTCTCTCATCTCGCAAACTAAGATGTCAGGTGGAACTGTGGACATCTAAAAGCTTGACTTGCACTGGGGGTCCGCTTCTGAGAGAGTTCACACACACGGCTGTTGGCCAAAGGCCTTGGTTCCTCAGGGGCTGTTGACAGAAAGCCTCTCTGTTCCCTGCCAGGTGGGCCTCTCCATAGGGCTGCTGGATGTCAGCTAACGTTCCCATGACATGTCAGCTAATGTCCCCAGAGCAAGCGATTCAAGAGAGCAAGGAGAAACCCACACTATCTTTTATGATCTAATCTTGGAAACGGCACCATCAATTCTGCTATAATACTCTTTTTGTTAGAAGTGAGTCACCGCGTCCAGCCCACATTCAAGGAGAGGGAAATTTAAGGAGGTGTACCAAAAAATTCTGGACATCTGGGGGAACCACCACAATTAACCAGGTTTCTCGCTTCCAACGCCAGCTCCCCCCCCCCCACCCCCACACACACACCTTGTGACCTCAGCCAACCTCCTGAGTGGTTTTCTGGGCCTCAGTTTCCTTCTTTGTCAAGAAGGACAATAACGTCCGCTCTGCCTCATCACTCAACAAATATTTAAGTCTTTTCTAAGTACTGCTCTGGGGCCTCAGAAGTACTGTGCAGAACAAGTGAATCAAGGGCTCTCAGGGAGCTGACCTGCTTGCGGGGAGGCATTCTTTGGCATAAAGCCAAGTGGTAGGAGGCACTGAGCAGCAAAGCAGAACAGGGTGAGGGGATAGAGAGGGACAGAGGGTGACCTGGGAAGGTCTCTATGAGGGGCCGATCTTTATTTTTATTTTAAAATCTTTAAAAATGTTTATTTTGAGGGCAGAGGGGCAGAGAGAGGGAGAGAGAGGATCCCAAGCAGGCTCCGTGCTGACATGGGGCTCCATCTCACGAACCACGAGATCATGACCTTAGCCGAAATCAAGAGTCGGTCACTTAACAGACCGAGTGAGCCACCCAGGCACATGAGGGGCTGACTCTTAGATGGAGATCCAAAAACAGCAAACGAGTGACTCATGTGGGTGTCTCGGGGAAGAGAATTCCAGGCAGCAGGATTAGCAGGAGCCCCGAGAAATGAAGGTGCCTGGGCAGTCCGAGGCAGAGTGAGGAAGCAGTTCACGGAAATGCCGGGAACAAATGAGATCCACCGAGAGCAGTGCTTCTCAGGCCAAGTTAGATCATGTTACTCATCTGCAAAGTCCTTATGAGACCTAACAAAGCCCTTACAAGCCCCATGTCATCTTCCTCCCTCCTCCCTCTGACCTCCTCCAACCCCAAGCTCCCTCTGCTGCAGCCACACGCCCTCCTGACTGTCACTCACTCCTACCGTGAGGCTTTACCCTAACATAGGGGCTCAGAACCACCCACAGGACTTATGAAAATGCCGCTGTCTGAGCCCCAGCCCAGTTTCTGATTCAGAAACTGATTCTGGTCTGGGACAGGTCCTGGGTGGCAGTAATGCCTCTGTCCCTGGCACATTGCATTTGTCCCCTCTGTTGGTATGGCTCTTGTCCCAGATCCCACAAGTCTTTGCCCAAATGTCACAGTGAGACCTACCATCACCGTCCTGTTCAATACTACAAGCTGCCCCTGTACCCCAATCTCTTCTCAACTCTATTTTTCTTTCTTTTTCCCACTTTTTTCCCCCACTTTCTAACATCTGGATGATTATTTTCCTTATTTACACTTTCCTACATGTCCCCAAGTAACCAAACTCCATGAACCCCTGATGACCTCATGGATGCCCCCAGAGATCTGCTGGCCTGCACATTCATTCATACACAACAGTTTGTGGCCATGATGTCTGTAGCTTTCGTTAGATGCTCAAAGAATTACTTGAGGGGCACCAGGTGGCTCAGTCGGTTAAGCATCCGACCGACGTAGGCTCAGGTCATGATCTCGCGGTTCGTGAGTTCGAGACCCGCTTGAGGCTCTATGCTGGCAGCTCACAGCCTGGAGCCTGCTTCGGATTCTGTGTCTCCCTCTCTCTCTACCCCTGTCCTGCGCACGCTGTCTCTCTCTCAAAAATAAATCCAAAAAATAAAAAAATAAAAAGAATGACTTGATCCCCAAAGCTTCAATACCACTAGGCGATCAATGTCTGGCACAGAGTGGGTGCCCAATAAATATTTGTTGACCACATTAAAGGGCTTTTTAACATTATTCACACACACACGTTATTTATTTGTTTTTCTGAGAAAACTGTTTAGTGGCACAATGGCTCCCAAATGTTAGCATCCTTGGATCAGCGAGGCCAGAATGACAGGATGGCTCTTTGAAAACACAAATTCTTGTGACTCAAAAATACCCTCACAGAGTCTGAGTCAGGAGGTTTAGGTGGGGGGCAGAGGTTTAGTATTTTTCAAAAGCCCTCCCACCTTCCCCCACTTGATACACATGTCCAGGTGAGTCCCAGGTGCAGCCAGCCTTAGGAGTTTCTATGTGAAGCATTAATTGGAGAGTTTCAGGAGAATCAACCCCGCTGTGCAGCTTTTATACTTGGCATAAAACATGATCACACCCATCGTCACTAGTGACCTTGCCACAAGCTCTCAGGGTGACCAGGCAGGGATTAGAATCTCCCTTTCACTGAGCAGAGAACCGAGGCCCTGGGAATCAAGGGACAACCCCCTCATAACCCCCAGCTGTCACAGTGCTTGCCAGTGGTGGGGATATGACTAAAACTTGGGCTTCTGAGGTTCTCCCCTCTGCATCAGCTGGATAAACCCAAGTTCCAGGAAGTCCCAAGGACACTACCAGGGAAGAAGAGCCAAAGAAGGGAGGGGCAGAGTGGCAAAGGAGTGAAGGGCAAGGTTCAGGTGGCTCTCTCCTGGCCACCTGGAGAGACTCCAGCTGCTTTAAGGATACAGGCATTCACATGCTAGCTCTGGTTGTGCAGGACCCCAGGACGCCCACTTCTCTGTGTGCCTCAGTCTCCTTATCTGCAAAATGGGGCTGCTAATCCATGCCCTGCCCCCATTGAGATGATTGTCGGGGGGCGCCTGGGTGGCTCAGTCAGTAAAGCGTCCAACTCTTGATATCAGCTCAGTCGTGATCTCACGAACTGTCATGATCAAGCCCCACGTTGCGCTCTGCACTCACAGTGTGGAGTCTGCTTGAGATTCTCACTCTCCTGTCTCTCTGCCCCTCCTGCTTCCTCTTTCTCTCTCAAAATTAAAAAAAAAAAAAAAAAAAAGATGCTTGTGGAATGTAAAGCACTCTAAACATCCCAGTTGTTACCAGTCTATCAGGGGAAGGTGCAAGATCCCCGACTCTGAAGACCTCTAGGGACAGAACTAAATCCAGCCTTTCATTCATTTGAGGTACATTTTTGAGCACCTACTATGTGCCAGGCACTATACATGCCCTGCTTTATTTAACCCTCAGGACAACTCAGTAGGGTCAGTGCTGCCGTTGCTCCCATTTTGCAGATGAAGAAACTGAAGCTCAGGTGAATGAGTTTCAATTCATTTGATCATTTGTTCTTTCACCCAACCTTTACTAAAAGCCTGTTCTGAGCCAGGCTCTGGGCCAAATGCTGAGGATACAAGTCCTTCAAGAGACGTGCCTATAAATTACTTTAATAACAACCCAGTACATGCTTCCACCGACAAGTAAGTGGGAGCCCGTGAGGGAGCCTCGGGCTCCCCTGGGGTCATGGGGACAAGCAGTTAACTTTCCGGGGGACCCTGCACCGCTAAAGTGCATGTGTCCTGTGTAGAGATGGCAATCACAAAGCCATGTCTCGATCCTGTTAAGACTTTGGTGTGTATTCCCAGGAAATCCTTTCCACCGCTGAGCTTCGGTTTCCATCTGGAAAATTAAGAAGTTGAGCTTGTGATCCTACAGCTCTGGGGACCCAAACCTTTGGCCCTTCCCAACCCACCTTCCGGTCATTTTGAGCTTGGCCCCAGCCAGTCCCAGGCTGAGCAGAAGACAGCCCAAACCCCTTGAAAAGTGCAAAACACCCCTCCCCAGGACAGCTCTCTAAGCCTGAAGGCACAGCCTCGGGCCCAAAGGGCGGAGCTCCGGGAGAGGCGGGGCTGAAACCTGGAGGAGGGGGACAGGCCGGCCCAGGAGCGTCCCATTCAGCCAATGAGCGCCTGGGGGCGGGGAAGCTCCGCCTCTGGTATAAGATGATACTGACTCTGGGGGCGCGGCGCGGAGGTCTCAGAGCCCGAACCTGCGGGTGTGCGGTGTTCTAGCTGCCGAGAGCTGAGACCACGGGGCGCGCGGGACCTCTGAGTTCGGTGCGCCCTGGGCTGGACAGTAGCACGGGTCGAGTGCCGTTTTCCTTGGCCTGTCTGGGCTGCGGTGAGGGCACGGGACGCGGATCCCTCGCCGCGGAGGAAGAGCTGGCCGGGACCGAGGGACGCCCGCGCTGACCATCCGCCCCCCGCCCCTGCAGGCATCCGGCCCGTCGTCATGGCCGACCACCTGATGCTCGCCGAGGGCTACCGCCTGGTGCAGAGGCCGCCGCCCGGCGCGCCCTCCCACGGCCCCCACGCGCTCCGGACGCTGCAGCCGTACGCGGGCCCGGGCCTGGACAGCGGCTTGCGGCCGCGGGGGACTCCGCTGGGCCCGCCGCCGCCGCCCCCACCCGGGGCCCTGGCGTACGGGCCCTTCGGGCCGCCGCCTGCCTTCC